CTATGGGTGGTGATTTGACTCCAAGTACGCCATTCACGGGGAGGGAGTCGGTGAAGGTGTTGATGGCTCCACTGTGAATGGTGGTCAGTGCCTGTCGGAAGTCTGTWBYGTCCGAGGTCCTGTCGGCGTATTGTTCGATGTCGTCGACGTGATCAAAGAATGACCTCTTGATGCTCCTAGGAGGCGGTTCCGACTTTATTGTCTTTCCATGCAGTGGCCGAAAAGTCTACTCCATCTGAAAGGGAAATTCGTTCCTCATAAGTACCTCTCGGAATATAAGGTTTCATAAATTCCTTTTTGTCAGGGAGCCGACAATTGGGTAGCCTGTTCTGTTGAATAGTTCCCACACATTGTATCACACATGTTTCAAATATATACCAAAGGCAGTTATGTATAAAAATTATCGCAAAATACAATATGATTGTTCATCCTTGGTATAGCTCTCGCCAAACGTATAACAACGTTATTTGTTATTCCGAGATCAGGCTGATCGGCTGGTTTGTGTTGCTTTTCTTCTTGTCCAGAATAGACCCCAAATCTGTAAGCACATCCCATAAGATTACAGAGAACAAAAAGCTTATAACCCCACTTGTGAGGCTTATTAGGTAAATATTGTTTTAGGAAATTTACAATTTTAGTTGCAAATGTGTGCTCATCTATAGAAAGTCGTTGTTCTATTGCAACTGATGGAAATGTTGTATTTGGCTGTTCTATCACAGGCCGAATCTTATGGAGGCGATCGTAATCAGAATGATCTCGCGGTTGATGTTTACTATTGTCGTTGAAATGTTTACCGGCATTGCCCTCTTAACAGGTTTGTAGCCAAATTTGGAATGCCAGTATGAGCGCACACTAGGAAAATGATCCACTGACATAAATAAAAGAATGCCTATGGATTTTTTGTAAGAAACTCATGAAGAAGAAACTTTATATGGTGTATCAAGTTCAGTTATAGCAGAGTCTGTTGTGCTTGGTTGGTGAATTAATTTGGCCTCGTCATAAAATAAACTGTCTTTTTTGTCCAAATGAGTTTTCTTTTATCGAACTCTACTAAATTTTCATGATCTTCCTGCATGGGTAAACAAGTAATAATTTGACTTTGGATGGATCAATATAAGTAGGATCTTCTTCTTCTGCATCCTCGTCTTCCAATTCTCGAATTGTTTCTCTTGCATTAGCGTAAAAGGTTTCTTCATCTTCACTTTCATCTTCCAAACCGTCCTCAGATACATTTCCTACTTCTAAGGCCGCTAGAAATTGTTCTATGTCTCTATCCGCCACTTTACGGGACATTCTAGAAGAATAATTATATAATTCATATGAATAAATTATATATTTATAAGAAATAAGTCAAACATAAAAAAGATATTATTATACCCACAGTAAAACTATTATTTGCCGATTTTGCATACTGATGTATTTCTACATCACATTTATAACGCTCGTATTTACTATAACTGTTATTGAATTCTAAATAAAACCAATGTAATGTGTTTTTCTTACCTTTATCCTCTTATACATCACTTTTAGCACGTAATAATACTATTTACTATCCACCAAAATGAAATTACAATTTTACTGCCAAAGTGTGTATTTGTAAGTGGCGCGCCAAGCTGTCAAATTATTAAAATTAAAAAGTGAAATGTCATATCATGAAAGTTTGCGTTCGAAAACCAACACAGATATTTTTAGCACCTAATAAAAGTAAAAAGTACTGTTTTTGAGTTACCGTTTAGAAATTATGTTAGGAAGAAAACACTGATGTATATATAAATCATCATGCATTTAAGGGTTAAAGAATAACAATAAACATAAAATTGATGCACATTACAGGAATTTCAAAACTAAAAGTATTTATTGTAAATATTTGGTGGTATATCCATTGTTTTTTATGACGACTTTACATCCTCGTGGCATAGATTTACTTAAATTGTTTAAAAAGTCTTGAGAAATCTTTTTCCATGCCCGTTCGTCTTGGACAATGAGAGAATCCTTGTTTTTGCAATTTTCCCGCTCAATTTTTTTACCTACAATTTCTCATGGATTTTTTAGGGGATTGAGATCTGGTGTTTGCTCGGGCCACTTCAAAACTTCTTTTTTATTGGGGGGCGACCGATTCGTCGATGTTAGATCCATTTTTACAGCATTTCCTTTTCAGCAAGACGAAGCATAATTATTTAAAGAATGTTTGTATACATAAAACATTCCATTATGTCATTAATTTGATTGATCGGACCGACCTACTCAGTGACCTGAGAATTATCCAGACCATTACGTTACCTCCTCCATGTTTCACAGTACCTTGTGAGTAACGCGGACTTAACGGTGCATCTCGACAGGCTAAAGCTTATGGCATGCTAACTGTCAAATCGTTTGCCATTGCCGTTGCCAAATTTGTATGTGGGCATTTGTTATCATAACAGAATCATTTGCGAAAAGGCGTCCGTTAGGTAGGTTCGAGCTAATGTAGCGCATGTTTTGAGCTCTTGAGCTGTTTAAATTTTTGTATGGATGAAAAAAATTTATGTGGAAAATAAAAACGGAGAAATATACTTTTTTTACAGATGTATTTGTTGAAAAAAGAGATTTCATATTATCGGACTATAATAATTGTAGTAAATTTATATACCAGACGCATTTTTCGACTTTGTTGCGAAATGTATGGCTTTTTGGCACTTCTGCATGTTATGAGGTTATTTTCTACAGATTGTCGCGGTGGACCTGCACGAAATATTGAAGACCGATTCACTCTGGATTAATCTAGCGGATATAAAGGAATCTCTTTTTATGGTTACCTCCATGAATTGTGCTTAGGGAGCCCGAAGAACGAAATGCTGTGGCTAATTGTGAACTTTTTTAAAATATTCAAAATCGTTTATAATTCACCGTTTTTAAAATCGTTTATAATTTTTTGTTTATAATAGTTTGGTCCGACACTGTATATGCAACTTTCCAACATACAACAAAAATACTATATATTTCCGTTTCTTTTTCTTGCTCTTTTTTTTAGGTATTTCAGTGGATCAACGAATTGGCACATCCGGAGAGTCGTGAAACAGCTTTACTCGAGTTGAGTAAGAAACGTGAAACAGTGACAGATCTCGCGCCAATGCTATGGCATAGCTTTGGAACTACCGCCGCCCTTTTACAGGAGATAATTAATATTTATCCATCGATTAATCCTGCCACACTCACTGCGCATCAATCAAATCGCGTCTGCAGTGCGCTATCCCTACTGCAATGCGTCGCATCGCATCCGGAGACGCGTACAGTGTTCCTGCAGGCGCAAATACCATTGTTCCTGTATCCATTTTTGCAAACAACATCCAAAACTCGGCCATTCGAATACCTTCGACTAACAAGTTTAGGCGTAATTGGTGCATTAGTTAAGGTGAGCATGCGTTTCGTAAAAATATAAGCCAACTAAATTGTTTATTTAGCCATTCACACATTATATTTCCTATACTCACCAGGCTGATGAGCAAGAAGTGATAACTTTCCTTTTAGCAACTGAAATCATTCCACTGTGTCTGCGAATAATGGAAACCGGTTCAGAACTGAGTAAAACTGTAGCTACGTTTATTCTGCAAAAGATTTTATTGGACGAAAGTGGTCTCTCGTATATTTGTCAAACCTATGAACGTTTTTCACATGTTGCTATTATTTTGGTAAATTTTGATTTTGGTTCTTTCTATGTAACAAGTTTACTTAGTTCTATTTGATTTTGATTGCAGGGCAAAATGGTAATACAACTTGCCAAGGAGCCCTCTGCACGTTTGCTGAAGCATGTCGTACGATGCTATTTACGTCTTTCTGACAATCCCAGGTAAGTTCCCGATAATTAAGAATTGACAAAATACCTCTAATAATTGAGTATGAGTAAGCGAATTGAAGGTAACAAAATATTGCCTAGTAAAGAAATATATTTTACACAGGCGAGCAATGATATAGTATTGAACTTTCGTATAATAATTTTGACATGTTTTTGACACCACATAAGATATAGATATCATTTGCTTTGAAAATATTGTTCGTTGTGTGACGTTGCATATGTCCCTATTGCACTCATAACATAAATAAAAAGTTTTACAAGTTTTTCTTATTCTTTAAACGGAAAAATTTATTGTGTTTGTCTCCTATAAGGGGGTAGCCTGGTTTAGAGGCTTCAAAATATCGATTTTTTTGAGGATTTTTTTTTGGGAAAGAAAGAAATAAGTGATTAAAGCGAAACTTCTAGGGTTTATTGTTATATATTTAAACATCATTCACAATTTTTTTTGGATACTTTGATATTCTTGATGCATTTCGCATGTGCATTTGTCGGACGGCGGGCAGGATGCAGGTCGCAATTTCTATCGGAAAAAAAAAAGTCAAAGGGATTCATATTTTTAAATAATTTATCTTCTAGTTAAACTAAAAATTCCAAACAAAAAAATGTAAAATTTAAAAAAAAAATTTTAAAATTGAAAAATGTGGTTTTGACTAAAAAAATTTTTACATTATGCTGTTTAAAAATATATTGAAATGACGTCCTAAATTTGCTAAGAAATATCTTTTCTGGCCAATAGAAAAAGATAGGAACGTATTTTGGACTGAAGAGTGAAGTTATTCTTTATACGGGGAAAAGATTTTGAGATAATAATACAAGATTATTACCCAAGATACCCCACAAAAACTTTAAAACATAGTGCGGCAGGCAAGTATAATAGCATGGAGATGTTTCCCGTTCAGGAACGTTGGTTCGATCCATCGAATTTCAATTCGATCATGGATCAGCTCGCCATTGCCATTATACTGCAAAATGTTATGCTAACATGCCGCTAAAATGGGTGTTTCTCCAAGCAGTAACTCAATAACACAGGTTTCGGGTCAATGGAATTGAGGTTATGGACTAGTCGGCTCGGCCTCTTGACCTCAATCCCATTGGAAACCTTTATTATTATTATTATATTAAATATTTAATTTAATTGCAAATAAGAGTATATTTAGCTGAGTTATTTGAACTCATAAATTGCTCTGTGTATACTATGTGAAATGTTACTTAATGCCTGTCATTGAAAAAATATCTCAATATTTGTTGACATCTTACCAACCCCTACATCTTGTAGTAAAACGTGAAATTTGTTAATATATTTTCTAAATACTGTATGCTCAAGTTGGTTTAGCATTAAAATTATCTTGTTTTAAAAATGTTTTTAAAGTAAAAATTTATTATATACATTATTATTTATTCTGTAGAGCACGTGAGGCTTTGCGACAATGTCTTCCAGATCAACTACGCGATGCGACATTTTCAGTATGTCTCCAGGATGACAAATCCACCAAACACTGGCTACATTTACTAATTAAAAATTTAGAGCTGGGTGTTGTCGCACCAACAGATCCGCGTCAAATCGGTATGTCACCATTGACGTCATAAACATCAGCAGCAACAGCAGAAAACGCGCCGTCTAAAGTACATGTAACTACATATGAAGTGCAGCTAAAAGTGCCCCCAACTAACTAGTTTAAAATAGTGAATACGCAAGTTACAAATAATATAACTTTTTACTTAAAAAATTGTAATACCCATTAAAGCAAAACAAATCAAATTACACACAATATAACAAGGGAATATCTAAATACTTAAATACACAACATACACACACACACATACACGTAATATATCTACAAGAGAAAAACAAATACTTAAAAGTCGTGATAGAAATTGCAACAATACGAATGCATTATAAAATATATAAATAATAATTATGATAATAAGGATAAAATATATAAAATGGAGACTGTTTATATGATAAAAAAAAAACACAAACAAAAACAAAAATACGGGTTTAAATAAAAAGCCCAAAAAAAGAGCGAAAATTAAATAATTACTGATGAAAATAATAAGGAAATTTATGTAGAAAATGAGTGAATATTAACTAAATTATGTAATAATTAAGGAATGGCGGTACCTAAAAAATTAAAATCGAAAGTAATAAATAAGTATCTAATTTATATGCATTACTCATATAGCTATAACTTGGAATTTTGCTAACAAAAATGCTGATTTCATTGCTTTCAGCCACATGTAATCGCAGGCGAATGTAATCACTCTGAGATTAAATAAGAAAATCAAATTAATTGCTTTTCTATTTAATGTAATAATAATCATAAAATTGGCTGTTAAGCAGATCTACCCAGATGTGTATACTGCATGCAGATACATACTTACACGTAGTTGCAATAGTATTGAACGAATATTAAATATAAATACGAAAATAGTTTTCGTTTTCAAAGTTGGCTTAAACTTGCGTGGTTGACTTACGTAAAGGGCAAAAGCAGAGGAACCTGTATTTTAATTTAAGTGTGCAACAATAACTTCTTATATTTTATATTGAGGAGTTTGACACCACAGTCTAGCAATTATCGAAATATATGTTTTTAAATGAACTTTGTGTAAATTTAGGCAATAACTTTGAACTAAAACATTAATGAATGCGCAGCCTCATGCATAAAGGTTCATAAATGAATGAATTATACTCTTTGTAATTTCAGTAATTTATCATTTAATCACTGCAAGAACTTTAAACGCGAAGCATACATTTTCGTCTGAATGCCTTAAAAAATTTTGTCTGCAAGTGACAAAAAGTGTGATTAAAACGTGTCACCGAAATATTGAAACAGTAATTCACTAAACGATATATTAACTATGCTATAAGGTATATATCTCAATTTTTTTTTTTTTTTGCAAAGAACTCACACAGCAACAACGTTATATAATTGGAAAGCCTCGTGTTTAATATAATTTCTTATAATCCTAAGCTAACAGCAATTGTATTAAGTTCGACATACATCCATATACATACATATATACTGCATTGTACTCCACCACTTCTCAATAATCTCTTGAGACTTAAATAAGCCCACTTTACAGGGACCATTTTGATTATGAAATGTTGATATCATTTGTAAAAAATGTAGAATTAAGCAATTTGATATTTTTTAATATGTAAAGCCGCCACTATTTGTACATTACAAGCATCAATATATTTAAATTGTATAAAAAGTTTTAGCTTAAAATGTTTGCCAAAAAATAAAATTTAGCTATAAACGCAATTAAAATATTCAAAAAACTCATGTTGCTTTGCTATCAGTATGTGAATGAAGGTAGTGGATTGCATTTCCAGTCTAGTTAACCTAAAACTTGATTGCAGTTTTACTACCACATTCTGAGAAAAATATACACATAATTTTAACTTCATCGAATTAGAACAAAATTATACTTCCAAAAGTGTTTGTTGAACATTGAAAATAAAAGTTGCTAAAACTTGCAAATTACATATATTATTTTTCTTCGGCACATCAATGCTGCTTGGCTTTCCTTCCACATTGTTGTGGCGGGTAAGATTATAACATTAAATACTTGAAAGAATATCAACACCTTATTTAATAAAAGAAGCAACGAAATTTTTTTGAAACGACATTTCCATTCATTTTCATGCATTCTGCATTTGAATTGCTTGCATTTTATATTCTAAACAAATTGTAATTCAAAAGTGCAAGTAAATTATAATACATTTGAGAATTATATTTATAATACTTTTGGGCACCAGTACCAGTAATTGTTTTTCTACAATGAAAATGCAGAAATATTTTTCTAATATGTGTTTTGTAAATGAAAGGTGCTTTTACCAATGGCGTGAGCATTAAAACATTATAAGCACATAACCAACGAATACTTACGAAAATTAACTACTTTCTATTAGAGATCAACCGTAAAGTCAATTGAAAGATATTATTTGTGAGTGCCAGCATGTCTGTTGTAATAATTAGTAAAAGCACAGTTCTAAATAATACTGGGTAACAATTAAAAATAAAAAAAATATTTGAGTTTACGAAAATAGATATGAAAATGCATAGCAAATATAAGAGTATTTATATATGTGAGTAGCTAAAGAGAAATAAGATACTTCACATGTCTTTGCTAAAGTAAAATCGTATTTAGAATAAAGTACCATAAATGAAATGACGTGGAGAAAACCTAACTGTAACAGATAAATATTGTGATTTTTCTTAATTTTTGTACAGTATCTATGTGGTGTTGATTGATGCTGTTCGGCTCAAAAGCTCTACACAAACTTGTGCGACACGCATTTTTTCACTTCCATGAGCTTCGCAGAGTGCGACAAACAAAACTTATAAGGCTAAATCTGAATTTTAAAAAATTATTGAAAGCCAAAGCCTACATGTTGAATAGAAGCATTTTTGAGAGTTAATTACAAGTTTTATACACACATTTTTAAACTATTTGATGAACAAGCGTATGAAACTACAACTGAATAAAACTTTTCAACTGCCGCAAAAAAATCATTGAACTAGTTATATGTGTACAGTGTAAAGTTTTAGCTGTCGAATTTCATAAATTCGAAAACTTAAAACCTACATCCCACAACTTCGCATCATATAATTTCGTATGTGATTTAATTATAAGTATTGACCTTAATGCTAAATAAAATTTTTTTTGTGTAATAAATTTTTGTATCCTTGTTATTCATTATTATTTGAACTTTTAAGTAACATAACAAGTAAACAAATCTTTGCTTGGCGGCAAACGCACTGTTGCGCACAACGCATTCAACACTTTTAGCTGCAAAACATTGTAATATAATTGAATAATTTTTAAACTTTAAATTTAATTTTGATAGTTCGTTTAATACTGTAGAGATTCTGTTTAGTCGAAAGAAAAAAGTTTATAATCTCCTTAAAAATGAACTTTTACACTTATATTTGAACGTTAAATATACGAACTAATCGGTATAGTGGTGTTTATGTATATCTGAATATGACTTGGGTTATATTGTAACCTATTGTAGGATAGGTGTAATCACAACTTAAATTGTAAACTTATATCATTCTTTGTAAATTGTTATTAGAAACCAGCATCCTAACTAAGTTAAGTTTAATATACATATATAAATATTTTTCGCATAACTGGGCTATTTGAAAGCACACAAAGCTACTATTGTGTACGTTGACATATTACTTGAGGTTGTTTTAGCCATTTATCTAATTTTACCTTCATAACTAAATCGAAAATGTAACATATACTTTAAATATTCTTATTTTTCCTAAAATTATTACCTAATTTAGCTTGTATTTGTATACACAATTAATTATTTTACATAAAGTTTGAATTACTACTTACTATATAACTACATTTTCATGTCACATTTATATTTATTTTAAATGTTTGTATTAAAGATTAATCGTGCGATTTGCCGAAGTTTTAAATTTTTATTTGTGTTTTGTTTTGATTATACAGTTTTTTCCTCTATAAGCTGCCCCTTTTGTTTTGTTTTGGTTATACAGTTTTTTCCTCTATAAGCTGCCCTTTAGCTAAGAGCGTGTGTTTTCTAAAAATCAAACTCAGATTGCAATCGGTGTTGATGGTGCCTGAGTGCATTAAATATAAAACATATATATACATATATATAATCACAAAAATGGATGGATTATCGTATGGCTAAACGTATAAAGAGAAATAGATGACCGTTTTTAAACTATGTTGAATAAATGAGAATTATTAAATTTATCTATAAAAAGTTGCGTGTTTTAATATTTTGACAGGTTTGGTTTACTAACGAGATTTTACTTCTTGATGTAGCTGCTAAAAACAGCAGCTTTCGCGGTTTTAAGTACAGATCACTTTCATTTACGTTAAACAGGTATTGCTTATAAGAAATTGGTAGCAAGAATTCCTGAAGTAATTTCGAGGATAGGTGCCAAGACCTATTGTGGGAACGGGATAATAGGTAGTATTTTCATTTGACGGTCTAGGACCATGTTAGTTTTGTTGTTTTAAAAGAATCCTGCCAATTTGGCGGTAGTTGGCTCGGTAAAGGTCCCGGTTTGTTTCGATTTCATTACGACTGTAGTGGTAACGGAAAGAAAAATATGTATCGTTAAACACTGAGCACCTATTTGTATATGTATTATCTTAAACCCTCTCGGATAATGCTCTTTCTATATTTCGACCACGTCTCGGTAATTGGATCTTCTGTTAAAGTTAAAATTTTCATTTGCATTTTATTGAAATGAATTTCGGTAGCCGCTACTAAGAAGCTGACTATAATTATTTTATATTCAAATGTGCGCATTTGGAATATCAGTTTAGAATGAGAATATACCAAATTTTTTAGGTTATGTTTTTGAGAATTGCCCGAATAATTTATATACATATCTTAAACATATCGATATAAATATGTAACAATATTTTAAGTAAGATTACAAAACTTAGGAAGCTTAAATAAAATTGTTTTATTTACAAGTATTCATATGGGAATTGTTTTTAACAGCATTCGTACTTTATTTGCATTAGCCAGCTGAATCGCTAGTAACAAAACAACAAAATAAAATATTTTAGAAATAGCAAGAACGTATATTTTCTTCTTATATTGAATTTTATTACTTTTATTCACTTTCGAATGTATAGTGTTTTCTGCCATCTCCTGGATATTGCTTTACAGCCACCGGGCGGTACATACGGTAGTTTTCCAACCAATAATAAAGAGCAAAGCAAGCAGACATTACACCTAGAAAGCTCAGCCAATATTGAGCATTTGTAAATCTTGGTTTCTCCGCCTGCGAGAAGCGATCTTCTCCGTATAAATCAATGTCAGCATGCAACTACAAACCAAAACATTCAATTAAAGTCATACTTTTGGTTTGAAACAAAGTTTACCGTCTCATGGAGATTGCGCTTATGCTCCGGAAAATCGTATGGATAGTAGGGGTCTTTCGATTCTATACCTAAACCTTTACCCAAATCAGGGTAATCACCATAGCCTAGACCGTTGTCGGCATATGGACGATATTCCTCTGGCAGTAGGTAGTATTTTTTTGCAGCCGCTGCATAATCCTTTTCGGTTTTTGGAATCTGAGCAGGTTTGTAATCCTTATTCCAACCAGCCACTATAATTATTGAAATTGTAAAAGGTTTACATAAAAAGGATAATTTTTAGCGTTACGTAAACAAATAAGTGAAATTAATAGTGTAGCACTATTTTATCAAGCTGTCAAATTGAAGTAACTACTTACTGCTTCTCGTCACATGCTGGAATAGCATTGGGTTTGCAGTTTGAAGCCTCTGTGCGGCCTTTAGTCCATTAAATATTGCGGACATCATTTGGAAATGCTTCCTGGACTTCTGTGTTTTCCAATAGTATAGTAATTATTAAGAATCAGATGTTTCAATTGTCAGTTTATGTGACGTTTTCTCTTAAAGCAATTCTTACTTGTGGTGTTGCCAATTTGAATTTATATAACTTAAAACAATAACTTTACATTCACCAATAAAAATGTAAAATAAAATAAAAATGTAAAAAATAGGATCAGCAGACGAAATAGTATTTGGTGAGATCTTTTGATCGTATGTATTTTGTTGAACGTAGCGTGTGATCAGAGAACGTCTAACCAGAGAACTTAAAACATAGAGAAGGTGCAGGTTCGATGTCGAACAATTTATAAGATTGTGATAGGGAATTCACCTCACAACCACAGAATTCAC